GGTGCCTGTTATTAGCATGCAGTCTCTGAACAAAAACCAGTGTCTGCAATAGCCTGTACATATATTTACAGACAATGTTCCCTAAGGCTCTGTTCAGCTTTGTGCATTGCGGTAATGTACAGTATAATGTGTATTTTTCCAAGCACTGCCATAATGCATGAAAAGAATTGATACTGTAGTGCCATTCGTTTGAATTCTGCCACAATGCACGTGTGTTGATGCATGTACGTTGGGGTGTGCACTGTGGTAAAAGGATTTTGCAGGACCATTGAAACCTGTACTGGAGTGCACTGGCAGCCCATTTAAAATGAATGAACCCTTCCCGCAATACATGATAACGTGTGAATCTGAAAAATGTTCAAAATTCTAAACACTCGCAGGGCTGCTGTAAAGATTTATAACATCGTTGACCCTTTTGCGTTCCAACCGCCAGGGCCCAAGACAGAATGGATGGATTCAATATAGGCTTAGTGCCACTTTCTGGTGGTATGGACCTTTAAAAGTCCTTTCTCCAGTTTCGGTAGCTTTACTCACAGATTAAAGGAGCCTCAGCTTTTTTTGCATATCTCTACTGCTCGCAAGCAATAGATATATGCAAAAAGTGTTAAAAAAAAAAAACGCTTTGAAAGGGGTTACCTGTGTCTTCCCCGCACGCTCCCGTTCGAAAATGTGAACATTTTCCGGCGCCCGCAAAGCATCTGGGGGCGGGCGCATGCGCAGATCACATTTTCGGCCGGGACGTGAGGAGAGACACAAGGTAAGTCTATGGACACGTGGACCCGCAATCGGACACCGTGGGACAGGAAGTTGCTGCAATGACATTTAAGCACAATGGACTAGCCTGCTGCATTATTTGATTTTTGGGGTGTCTTTGAATTCAGCCCTCTGCAGGTTGATAATTTTTCAGTTCCATCGAACGATGTGGCATCCTTTCGTTCCTAACACATTACCCAGTCCAGTATACAGTAGATATCCAGCATGATATTTTTCCCCCTTGAGTTCTGATGTGTTTTCAAAGTGTTCCTTTAATTTTTTTGAGCAGTTTAGTAAGTTTGAATAAAGTTTGTTTTTTAAAGTCTCCTGACTGTATTCCTGGATATTCGAAAGCAAAAGCTGAAAGTGTACCTACAGAGATGCCCAGAATCTGTCTGCATGTGTTCTCTTTCAAAAAATGTATGAGTTCAGCACCAGTCATGAGTAGGGGGTGTAACTATTGCTTTGTTTCTCTTTTTTTAGCTCTACAATATATCTGCCCTGCTTCTACGTCACGTAAAATAGGAAGTTGAAATAAAATGTGTCTATTGGAAATAGTTACTGACATAACTCAATGAAAGTGTGTTGTCTGGTATTTGACTTTGACACTGAACCCGTGGGGTGTCTTAAAGCCTTCAACTTTGAAGTCTTTTCATGTGGTAAGTTTAAATAAAGCAATTTTTTTTAAAAGAAGTTCTGCAACCTATATCATATGACAGGAGGATGATTGACTCCTGACTGTATCCCTAGATATTCGAATGGAAAACCTAAGGGTGTACCTACGCAGATTTTCTGTCTGCATGTGTTATGTGTTTAAAAAATGCATTCGTTCAGCACCATTCCCGAGTAGCGGCTTTAACTGTTGCTTTGTTTCTCTTTTTTAGAAGAATATTTTCTTGTGCATCACCTAAAACAGGATGCCAGTAAACCACAAACAAGAAAATGACTAACCAAAGATTGGTTGACATCATGCTGACCAGATGATAACACTTTCATTTTGGCATTATTGTTATAGGTTGAGTAGATGACATCAAGGAGTTTTGAGAGAATTACGATGATTGAAGTATGTCTTTTAAAAGCATAAAGGTAAAATGTAAGCTTTCATCCTGTACCCAAAACCAGAAAGTTGTTCTGATGGAGCTATGATTGCACCACGTGGTAAAAAGCCTACAAACTCCCATGTCTACTGTAATGATTTGGAACATGGTTTAACCATTTGGGTGCCAACCAACAGGACCAAAGAAAGAACATCTTATCCTGGACTGACTTTTGGGAGAACACTGCCATATGAGTGTCTGGATTATCTAAGACAAGCAGCTTCTATCACATTGGTAAGAAAGGGAGATCATGGATGCCAAAAAAGCATTGACCAGTTTTTTTTTCAGATAAAACATATAATAATACACCCCCTCCTCCCCCGCAGATAAAACACACATACACACAGAATAATACACCCCCCTCGTCTTCCACAGATAAAACACACACAGAATAATACACACACACACCTCACCTGCACGATCCCTGCTGATCTAGGGGTTGATTAGTAAGGTCTGGTGCAGACCTTACTAATCCTTCCTTTCGGCCAGAGCTGTCAGATGTCTGGCCGAAAGGAGCTTGCCGGCACTGACAGGAGCAGCTATGCGGTCTGTATTTGACAGAGATGCAGACCGTGTAGCTGCGGGCCGGATGGTACCGGGCTGGTACTTGGAGACCCCTGAAGAACTTCCCTTTCTGCCTATGACCGGGCCCCCCACTTCTGCCCCGGGCCCTATAGCCGCCGCGTGGGCTGCTGCGGGAGTAGTTCCGCCACTGCTCTTCGCATTCAGATAGAGGTTGCTTGGGATGAGGTTGAGCACGTTGTTTGGAACCTTTTAATTTGATAAAGTGAAATAAACAGCTTCTCTTGGAAAAAAGGTCTCTGGCATAACTCAATGAAAGGATGTTGTCTGGCCCATGACTTTGACCCTGAATCCTCAGGGTGTTAAAGCCTGTAACTTTGAAGGCTTTTAATCTGGAAAGTTTTAGCATGGAGCCGGCTTCCGGGCCAATCAGGAAGCCAGGCAAGCGTGTAATGACGCGCTGTGCGGCTTCCTGATTGGACGGAAGCTGGCCAATCAGGAAGCCCTGCGCCATGTAATGACGCGGTGCCCGGCTTTCTGATTGGACGAGGGAGCATGGAGCCGGCTTCTTGGCCAATCAGGAAGCCGGGTGCCGCGTCATTACACAGCGCCAATGAGAGACAGCATCTGTCAATAAATGAGCACCTAATTGCTGTTATTATCGTTGTTGGAGTGCTGGGGACGTCTTCCTTTTTGTCTTACGTGTGGCGGCGCCATCCGCAGTCATTTCGAGCACCCGTCTTTTTTTGGGGAGTCCCGATAAGGTGTGCGTCAAGTTTGCTTTTTTCTTATTACACAGCGCCCGTCTTCCTGATTGGCCAGAAAGCCAGCTCCATG